TAGCCATATACTACCACAGGCTGCTGGGGGCTGGGTCTGACCCTGGTTGGGCTTCCAGGGGCTCGAGCTCCAGTCCTAGTCCCTTGGCAGCCTGCAGGCTCAGGCCCTGCTTTTGTGGGCTGTCCAGGGCTCCGGCCCCATGCTGCCGTCGGTTACTGGGGCTTTCTCCAGCCACACACCTGGTCCCTCTGCTGCAGGCTGCTGAGAACATGGGCTACTGCCCCTCAGCAGCCCACAGCTCTGGCCCTGCTTCTGCAATCTGCCCGGGGCTTCAGCCCTATGCTGCTGGGGGTGCCACCAGCCCTGGCCTTGGTCCCGCTTCCATGGGCTGCCCAGGGTTCTGGCCCCAGTCCTGCGCTGCCACTGGTTGTCACCGGCCCGATCCTGTGCTGCTGGGGACTACCCCAAACTGGTCCCAGTGCCACAGGCTATTGTGGGCTGGCGCCAAACTCTTGCCACAACCCGCTCCTTCAACCTGGCCCCTCTTGGATTGCCCTACTGCCAGTAGGCTACCAGGGTTCTTTGATCCAGAAACCAGAAAATTTTGGTTTTGAGAGATGTAACCTGTACTGAATTTCATGGAATATACATGGATTATAGTCAGGAAAAGGTCACTGTTGCATTCCTTTGCCTAAAACTGCTGCAATCTTTTGCTAAAGCATACTTTAGTCTCCAGGTTACAGTTTGCATGAGAGCCGCTGCTTTGTTATATACTGAATCTACAATATATTACTGAGAGCTTTTCTTTGTGATGCATAGTTTGTATTTCTCCTTATCTCCAAATTAAGACATCTGAAAAAGAAATGATCTTGTAGCTCTGAAGGCAAGAAAAACTCTTACAATAAGAGGCATTTCTTTTTTTCCCCCTCCTTCCTTCTGCGCATATACTTTTTGCTGGCTTAGTTTTATAAAGTATTAATTTTAGATATGGTATCAAACTCTATAGTTCACTTCCAAGCTCTCTTTATACTTTGAAATATGTTAAATGTGTAAGTAAATGACAGACAGTGACCTAGGCTGAGAAATTCACAGTGCAGCTGCTCCAAAGTAGCACACACTACTCTAGATAGGATGTACAGGTGTGGGCATTGTAGTAGATGGCAATTGCTAGCACAGGCACCAGCTTTCAACTTTCCCAGGCGGTGCTCAGGGGCGGGAAGAGTTGATCAGCAAGGCCACTGACAGTCAGGAGCTGGCAGATGAGTGTTAAACACCTGCTGTTTTTTTCTGTGGGTGCTCCAGCCCTGAAGCACTCAGAGCGGTGCCAATGGCCGCTAGACCTGAAAGAATGAAAATGGGCTGAGTAAGGGGTTGGAACTCACCACCATGGTACCTCTGCTGGTCTGTCCAGGAACTAGCTTACTTCAGAGTTATTCTGAAATGAACAACTATTAGGGTACATCTATTCTACAGAGAACAATCAAAGCCGCTGCTGTCGATCTTCCAGGGTTTGAATTAGTGGGTCTAGTTAAAACAGCTAATTTGAACTGAGAGGGGCACGCCGGTCATTGCCAATAGTCCTGCTTCCATGAGGAGTAAGGGAAGTCGAAGGGAGACTGTTCTCATTTTGACTTCCTGAAGTGTGGACAGCACCAAAAGTCGAGTTAAGGTACTTCCACTTCAGCTATGCAATTAACATAGCTGAAGCTGCGTATGTTAATTTAATCTTGTGCCAGTGTAGACATTCCCTACTAGACATACCCCTAGGGGTTGGCACATTGTCCTCCAAAGAGAGATACAGGCAGATTTCCCCAGTAATAAAACCAGTGTTCTCTCCAAATATACTAGAATCTCAGATGTCTGATTTTCATCAAAGACTAATCCTAAATGTTGTTAATTAACGTTATCATTATCACACTAATTCTCATCTGTTTTATAAACCCCAAATGCTCTTATCTGCAACATTTCTTGTCTGTGTATTGCACGCAGATTATTTGAGGATATATTTAATGTAAGTGTGCAACACTACTGGTTTCCTCAAGATATGATGATCTAATTACAGTGCAAAAATGTGCATACAGACTATAAAAATATGTTTTTCATTTTCCTCCTTTCAGGTCAATGGGGATATTCCACCTCGATTAAAAAAGAGTGCTCATGAAATAATCCTGGATTTCATCCGATCACGACCTCCCTTAAATCCTGTATGTAATCCAATATGTTTCTTCATAGTGAAAGGCTTGCTTTTTTAAACATTTTTGTATTTCAAGGATAGTTTTAATGTTTTGTTTTGATGGTGTCGTACAAATTACATTGGTTGTTTGTTATGTGTTCATTCTTATGCGTTTCACACAAGAGCTATTTCACTTTTCTGGTCTGTGTAGGAAGACCATTATAAAATTCTGAAACCATTATCTTTGTGAAACTGTATTGTCTTATGTGTTTATAAAATTTTCCTTCCAGTATTCTTGTTAAAAAATCTTTCTGAGGAACTTGCTCAGCCATATTTATAAGCAAATGAAAGTAAAATCGCTTCACAATAATATGTTATTTAAAAGCATCCTGGTGAAATTGCTTTTTGGGCATGGTGCTTAGCATGAACATTCCTTTTTTTACATATCCAAGGCCTCTGCAAGAAAACTGAAACCAACCCCACCACGGCCACGCAGTCTCCATGAAAGGATCCTGGACGAAATCAAGGCAGAAAGAAAGCTGCGCCCTGTCTCACCAGATGAGATCAGGCGTAGCCGGCTAGGTGAGTACTTGTTTTGCTTACACTAGCTTTGAGCAGCAGTACTTGCACAAAACTGCCTCCCATGAGGACCGATAATAGCCGTGTTAGCACTGAACTGAATTAAAATAGAGAATAAAATAACTCTTACCCTTTCAAAAAAGGGTAAAGCCTGCAGATTTTGCTAGAGCTATGCACCCTTTCGGATAACTTTAGGAATAAAAGAATTGCTTCAGGTTTCTGATGTTATGATTAGAGGATTTTAAGAACCGTAATGTTGATTATTATGTAGTGGGAGTTACATTATATTATCTCATGGACAGGAATAGAAGTTTGTTTTGCTAACATGCAACATATGTTACACACAGATTTTTCTCCTTTCATTTTATTCTTATGTTTCCTCCTGTCAGATTCATTAATCTCAGGAGCCTTTATTGATTATCTGTATTTGTTTTTCTGAACTTTTGAGCTGAGAGCATTGTAGTCATTTTGGATGTAAATATTTACTTTGCTGTATAAGGCATGGAGCCCCTATAAGCATTCATGTGAATTTTAATAAGCAACTAATTCAGATCGGTATTGCAAAACACTTTATGTAGTATATGTGAAACATTCGTAAATTGTAAAATTACGTAAGTATTAAATTTTTTCACCAGTCGCCACTTTATGGTTCAGAATCATTGAACTAAAGCAAAGCCAAACCACCAGATATATTGCAAATACCCTATAGTTGCTCCCAGTTTCCTTCTATAAGAGTAAAGTATTTAATTGTCTCAGAGAAGCTTTGTTATCTGGATAGCTGCAGAGGAAGAGTAATGTCTTATGGCTCAAATAAACAACTCACACTTACATTCTCTGTTGTTCTGTTTGGCAGCATATCTATGCCTGGGGCAATGGTTCAAAATCAAGCGGGTTCTATTTATTCACCATCTGTAGAGGAAATTTGTTATCACTCTTGTTTCAACCAGTTTTGGGGACGAGTGTCTGTATAGACACTTGAATGCATTTTAGGAGCAGAATATTCTGAATGCTGTTTTACAGACCATCTGAAGCCTGCTGTGCACTTTAGCTATAAACATTCAGCCTTAATATATGATATGATCTCCATTTGGAAACTCAGTGTTACAATCGTGGAATTGTAGGACTAGAAGGGATCTTGAGAGATCTTCTAGTCCAGTCACCTCCACTGGAGGCAGGATTAAGTCTATTGACAGTCCTCTTTCAGTCTGTTCAGATTTTTCACCCCTCAGTTATATGGCTCAAAAAATGGGATATCAGAGCATGTCTGGGCACAAATTGGAGGATTTATGTACAGATTACAGTAGATTAAAGATTTTTTCTCTCTCTGGCACTTGTGTGAACACCTAATTGTTACTAGCGTGAAGAAAGAAAGAAAACAATTTTGTTACATTATATTTGCTTTTGTTTTCCTTTTTCACACTGAAACTGACACAATACATTTGTTGTCTGAAATATCAAAACTTTCTTCAGAGCAAAATTTATATATTTTTGTAAAAGAGCAGCCACATTCAGAAAGCTATAAATAGTCATGGCTTTCAGATAGATAAGTATTGCATGTAATTTAGTGTAGTGAAATGTAAGGCAATAAGGCTTAAGGGATTTAAATCTAAATGGAAGCCCAACATAGAACACAGATGGGAGAAAGATGTGAAGATGATTATGGATAATACATTTAAACCATCTGGACAGACACAGTTGGCAATAGTGAAAATAAATGAAGTCTTGGGATACATTTATGAAAATATATAGTATATGGTATGTGTGCAGGAATTGTTCTGTTGTTTAAGCCTTGTTTGATATATGGTAATTGATCTTGGAAATCATATTGTGCATGACTAATTATACAGTGAGAAATTTGCTGCAGAGAAGTGATCGGTATGAATAAGTGTTTGTAGAAGTATGTGGTTTTTACAGGCTCATGAAAGATCAAAAGAAAAAGACAGGCATAGAAGGTACAATTCCTTTAATTAAAAGGGTTTGTTGCCTGGTATGAACAAGATGAGTTTAAAAACTATTTAAAACACATGGCTGTAAGTTAAGTGGACAGACATTTTACTATATGTAGGCAGTCTTTGCAACTGCTGTTGCTTCTGGTGTATATTGCCTTTTCTTGCTATAAAGGAAAAGTACCTCTACTCCCAGGTTTGGCTCTGGATCAGATACCTCTACATAACTTGAATTGATTCCCATATCCCCATGCAACCTAAACACATACTTAATCTATGGAGATGTGTGACTACTGGATCATTCATACAAGCTTGCACATTAAACAGACTGGAAAGTCAATGTTCAGGCAAATAGGTACAGAATATTTTTGCATATCCAAAAAGGTCATTTTCCACCTGGCATTTTTTCTTACTGTTGGGGTTGACCTGCTAAAGTTGTCTCAAGTAAGAATGAATTTGTCATTATCCTAATCCCTACTAGCCATTGCATATTTTTTTTAAATATGGATCTGTTTATCACAATAGGCAGTTTATGTTCATCAGTGGTCCAGTCACTGGATGTCAGAAGTGAGGTACTTTGACTAAGCTATGTTGAATAACTGAGCTAACTGTGACACGGCAGTTGCTTATAGCCGTGTCTCTCATTTTTATGAATGATGAAATTAATCCACAAATGTTTAATACTATGAGACAAAGATATTGGTTAAATAAACTTTCCAGACCAAGTTAACCTTAGACTGCTTTTTGTCCTACGAATGGGAACAAACTGATCAGAGGGCTGAAAAGGAGATGCCAGGATAGTACATCCATTTTGAAAACTGAGGCAGACCAGAACAGCAGGAAGCAACTTTTAATAAGGGGCAGAATTCAGCCAAATACATTGTTTTATGTATTTTTCCATAAGAAATATTAATATTTTTAAATATCTCTTTTAATTAGTTAAAAACATAAGAGACTAAGCTTCTAGAAATTTAGGACTTTTTTTTAAATTAACTGAAATTTGTGTGAAATGTGGTTCTGTACTTTTTATTTTTTTTCTCTGTCAGTTATAATTTTTCTTTCATAAATGTTATTTGAAGTGAAAATCTTACATTCTGTTTCAAGATTCTTATCTCTTGTGTTGGCATCTGGTTTTATTGCTTTACAATCCTAGTGTTCTACAGTTCAATCTTTTAAAATATCTTTTTTATACTTCAGTATTTGCAAGTGCCAGTGATGCAATTGTAGTGTTTACACTTGCAGTTTTACCACAGTAAAGAAAAAAGGTGTTTTAGACACATTTTGGATTTATGTTAGCCTCCTGTGCATGGGAATCCAAAATGTCTCAAGTGGACCTAATCTTTTCTTTTTGTTACCTCTCTGCTTTCTGAACAGCTGATTTATTTTCTTTTTGTTGTTTTTGTTTCTTTTTTCAGCAATGCGGCCACTTAGCATGTCTTACAGTTTTGACCTGTCAGGTAAAAGGTGCTATAACACCTCTGACGTGGTTATTGTGTTTACTGTGAAATTTGTTTCATCCATTTGTTTGTTTAACCCTCATATAAGAAAGAAACTTTGAAGGGATTCTTCTAAACCATGGTCAGTGAAAGTAAAGATTCAGCTAGATTTCCTATTCAAATCTATAGTTCTGGTACCAAATAGGGATATACTCATATTAGAAACTATGTTTCACCTTTAATTGAATTTTATGAAGAATAAGGTATTTCACAGCTAGCCCTAAACCCACAGGAAAGGGTTTGGTACACTATTTCAGCTTAGTCTGATTTTATTATTATTTATTAAATCAGCACTTTCCCTTGAAACTTTACTTTAAACCAAGTTTCATAGTCTTGAGTATTAGTTTGACCAACAAATATAAGTACTGTACTGTCTTAAGTCAAACATCTAGGGTGCCACTTTTTGACTTCATCTTCTTCATTATTTTATTTCTTCAGATTATTCAAAAACAGTTACATCTTTTATTGAAATGTTCTTAATTAGCATTGCATGTACACACACGTTGCACAGAGAAACTCCCATGTATATACCTATTGAATAGGTATGTATATAATATAATTTCATTTCTCCATGCAATGTGGAACTGTTATGACGAACAAATGACTTTTAGCGATAGTAGAAGCGTTGCAAGCTTTATTTTAGTTACCGTATTTTCCGGCGTATAAGGCGACTGGGCGTATAAGACGACCCCCTAATTTTCTAGTTAAAACATAGGTTTTCGCCTATACTCGCCGTATGAGACTACCCCCCCTTAAGAGGCCAACCGGCAGCGCCCCAGCTGCTCTGCCCCAGGATCCACAACAAAAGCCTGGTCTTCTGGGGGGGGGGGCACACTAGCTGCGCCCCCCCCTCCAGCAGCCCAGGGACACCGGGAGACGAGCGGCAGCAGGGTGCCGTGCCTCTGAGGCTTTGCTCTGGCAAAGTCTCAGAGGCGAGGGACCCCACCGCGGCTGCGGCTTCAGTCCCGGTGCCTGTGGTCTGCTGGGGGCCGTCCCCCGCAGACCACAGGCACTGGAAGGGAAGGCGCAGGCGC